AAAAAAAAAAAAAAAAGTAAATGTTATTAGCAATTTTTTTTTGGGTTATGCTACTACATTTTTTTTTTTTAAATAAGTTAAAATATGATGTATTCTTTGTTACTATGTTTTACTTACTTTTAATTTTTTCCTGAGAAGTATGAAGCACCTTCGTTTCTTATTGTTTGCTTATGGCAAGTATAATGAAATACAACTAAATTTCACTATAAAAAATTTAAATCTAAATAAAATAGGTAATAACAACCTTCTAATTTCTACGTGCATGATTTAAAAATATTCATTACATATTCTCTTTCAAGCATGGTTTTAAAACATAATTTACATTATCATGTACACAAGTAAACAAAGTCGCAAATGTACAAATTTAAGTTCTTTTGCACAAGACAATAATATAAATTAAAAATAAAAAAAAAATCAACAATGTAATTGATGTAGATCTATTACTTTTTTTGTTATCCAAATTATGTTAAATATTAAAAAACAAAAAGAAAAAAGCACTCAACAACACACTTTTTGAAGTTGCATAACTAATCTGTTTTTGATTATTTTTGTTAACAAAGATATGTTTGTTTTGTCATACATAATATATACACGCATGTTTTGGTTAATAAAATAAATGATCATTAATTTTTCGGAAAGAAGAAAATGAAAGATGTGATTTTCCACTAAATTGCAAAGAAAATGCCCAAATAGTAATACTTTGTTTCATTTCAACATTTGAACTAATAAATAAACCATTTTTTATAGAAAAGAAACTAGTACATAGATCGTGCGTTGCACGAACAATAATGATATATTCTATAAATTATAGCAAAAAAATATTATCAATTAGTATAAAAATAGTTTTGAGTTTTAATATTATTTTTTATATTTTTCTGATGTATAATAGTTTAACTAGTACAACACCCGTGTATTACATGGGTGCTTGTTAAAAAATTATTCTTAAATTTTAAAATTAATGAGAAAACTATATTAAATTTAGTTTACTTTTTTACAAAAAAAAAATAAAAATTTATACCATTTATTTTAGAATAATATGTGTTACTCATGACTTACATGTGTTATATTATATTAGTTTTTATAACTTATATCATATAACTACTTGAAATATAAATATATTAGATGATAAATAATTTTATTTTTCTAATTAATATTAAAAATAATTTTATTATTGTTATAAAGATAAATATATATATAATTTTTTTATACATACAATATGGATGTTAAATCAAAACTCATCAAAAAAAGATTAATTTGATATATTACATATGTAAAACTGATAATGAATACAAAAGTTATTAACTTTTAAAATATATATACAATTCAATAGTTATAATAAGGAATGATATTAAAATGCAATTAATACATGACCATAAATATGCATATTTATGGTAATCCGAACCTAATTATTTTTTGTTTGGAATTAAATTAAAATTTACCCAAGCCTAATAACAAAGCATGTAATTTTGCCACATATGATTCCGAAGCACCAGAAGCAGCCACGTAGGCTCAGCGCGTTCTGGATTAATATATAAGGGGATATATGATTTATATATTTGTTTCACTCGTCATTTAAAGTTATTGTTTATAACTAAGAACATGAAAAAGTAACGCATTAAAAAATATTATATATAATACTCAAATCAATACATCTCTCTCTCTCTCTCTCTCTCTCTCTCTCTCTCTCTCTCTCTCTCTCTCTCTATTTACTCATTTCTTATTACAACATATTATTTTTATTCATAAATAAGTGATTATTGTAAAGCTAAAATATTATAGCATATATTCTAAACTAATACTTAATTTTATATAAAAAAAAAGTGTATACTATTTTAAAGTTAAAATTTATTAATTTTTAATTACATCAAAAATATGTTTACTTTTAAATTTATAATAATGTATACTATAAAATAAATTTTTTTGTAACAAAATAATTCATATGACAATTCAATACAAATTGATTTATCATTATAATTTATAACAATATATATATATATTTTGTTGATTTTTTTTCTAAGTTAACGATTTACATCGTTGCCCTTTGGTATTTATTACAAAATGTACATTACTAATATTTTGTTTTTTCTTCCTATGTTAATAATTTAAATGGATATATTAGGGGTGCACACAATTTGGTTAACCGACCGAAACCGACCGAAACCGAAATTTCGGTTTGGACCGAAACCGAAACCGAATTTTTGGTTCGGTTTTCGGTTTGTATTTTTTAAAATTTCGGTTTTCGTTTCGGTGTGGATTTAAATGCTCGGTTAACCGAACCGAACCGAAAACCGAAACTATAAATTATAACAAACATATATTATCCAAGGTCCCAAGCCCCTGTTTTTAGTTTTTAGCCCAATTATGTTGTTAAGGCCTACTATAATAAATGAAATAAACAACCACAACTATGCACTAGGCCCAACCCAATCCTATTTGTTCTTATCGATCATCATCCCCTCACCTGCATCTCTTATCTTCTGTCTTTTACAAAGTATAAACCAGAGGAAATTCC